CTTCCGAAAGAGGCTGGTTGTCCAGTTCATCTAGTGCATTGCAGAGTGACTGTCTGTGCGAGCAGTATTGTGGGCATTCACACAGAATCTGCCAAGTTGTTTCATCACTGCCACAATGGTCGCATGCAGCAGTGTCAGGCATTCCTATGCGGAACGCGTACGCATTGGTAAATGCGACGCCCAACCATAATCTGCACAGCTTAGTAGCGTCTCGTCGGCGTAATTCCGGAGGAACTCGAAGACTGAGAGTTGGGTCTAAAGTACTTAACCGTGCATGGATGAAATGTGACTCGTTCTATTGTGACGTGGTGCGCTTGCGAGAAAGCATGCGGAGTTTCGGTGCAGCGTCAGTTCGGGAAAGCGGAATTGTTATTTCATCGCTTTCAGTATGGGCAGAACGGACAGCTCGATCGGCCCGTTCATTGCCAATTATTCCACAATGACTTGGAAGCCATTGAAAGGCTATTTCATGTACTTCCTCAATGAGTTGGTGAGTCTTTTCTGCAATCTCAAACACCAGCTGTTCGTACGGGCCGTGGCGTAAAGGTGATAGAAGGGATTGCAGTGCCGCCTTCGAGTCACTGAAAATTGTCCATTTTTGTGGCTGTTGGTCGTTGATGAATTCAATGCGGCACGAAGAGCTATGAGCTCTGCTCCCGTTGATGTCGTAAGGTGGGAGGTCTTGAATTTTCTTGTCGTGTCTTTTATCGGTATAACAAATGATGCCGTTGAACTCTTCTGTAAAACAGAGCCGTCGGTGTATACGTGTAAACAGCCTTGATACGTCTCGTATAAAAAGAGCAGAGCAAGCTGTCTAAGAGCAGGTGATGACATATCTGTTTTTTTCTGGATGCCAGGTATAGTTAGCCTGATGTTAGCCTGAGTCAGGCACCAGGGAGGAGTCGAAGGCCTGGCGGCGGGTGTGAAGCATGTCGGCAAAGAATCGCGGTATGTGGTGACCGTTTGGCAAAATGACGAACGTGGTCTGTCTGCTGGTAAAGAGGCTAGGTGGTGGCAGGGTGTCCGAGCAATATGCCTTATATGTGTCCTGAGTGCCTCAACGTCGATGTGTGTCGTGATGAGGTGGTCACCGGCGATAGCTATAGCAGCCATTGTCGATGCACTACGAGGCAAGCCGAGGCAAATCCGGAGTGCCTGGGACAGAACGCTCTGTAGCGTTCGAAGGCTTGTTTTGCTTGCATTGGTCAATGCCGGTAAACTGTGCCGCAGAAAACCGAGAAAAAGTACTCTGTACATCTGTAGCATTGCACTGGGAGACATTCCCAAAGTCGTCCCTGCAAAGAACTTCAGTATATTATAGATGTCCATTAACCGTCCCTTCATGTACGAAACGCGATCGCTCCATGATAGATTCCTGTCAATTATGACGCCCAAAAACTTGTGCGATCGAACGTGTGGTACAGTTTGACCATTGATGCTTATAGTGTACTTATCCATAGGCTTTCGTGTAAAAGCTACGAGGGCGCATTTCTCGAAAAACATTTCCAAGCCTCGATTTCGTAGGTAGTGTAATGTTTCAGTGGCAGCTTTTTGAATTCTCCCTCGTAACTGCAGGCGTGTTACAGCCGATGCCCAAATGCAGATATCATCTGCGTACATTGATAGCCTGCCCATGCTTGGCAGGTGCTCAGTGAGAGCAGTTAACGTAAGATTGAACAGCACAGGGCTGAGTACACCACCCTGGGGGACGCCACGGTGGCTGTAATGTGGAGAGGTTGGACCGTCTTCAGTGCTGACAAAGAAGGATCGCATTGACAAATAACTACGTATCCAGCGATACATCCGACCACCTACTCCTATATCTTCGAGAGCGGTGAAAACAGCTTCATGCGTAACGTTGTCATACGCCCCTTTAACGTCTACGAACAAAGATGCGCAGAGACGCTTACGGCCTTTCTCGTGTTGGACCTAAGTGACCAGGTCGACTACGTTGTCAATCGATGCTCGACCACGCCGAAATCCTGCCATGGCATCTGGGTAGATAATGTTACACTTCAAGAACCACTCCAGGCGTTCCAGCATTATCCTCTTCATAACTTTGCCTACACAACTAGCCAATGCGATCGGACGATAAGATGAGAGCTCCAACGGTGACTTGCCTGGTTTCAGAAGTGGAACTAGGCGACTTGTCTTCCAGCTTGTCAGGAGCGTTCCATCTTGCCAGGATTTGTTGTACAACTCCAAAAGGAAGATTCTCGCGCATTCACCCAGATGACACAAGGCCCTATAAGAAATTCTATCGGGCCCTGGTGCCGACGTGCGTTCACACAAAGCTAGTGCTGCTCTGAGCTCCACGATTGAAGAAGGCATATCCATGCGGGAATCCAGTGTTTGTGGAGTTAGTCGAGGGCAATAGGCTATTGGGCCCTGCGTGTGGCCCAGATACTCTGGCACAGAAGTCTTCTGCCACGTCAATGCCGCGTCTCTGTTCAGAAAGTGCGAGAGCCCTGAATGATGACCACTGAGTGGGTTTTGTGCGGAGACCTCGTACCGTCTTCCACAATTCGGATAAAGGTTTTCGTGGGTCAAGTGACTGACAAAAAGCCGTCCAACGTTGTGACTCGAGTTTAATTATCCGGCGCTGAATCTTCTTTTGTATACATCGAGCAATTCGTAAGTCTTCTATTGCTTCCGTGCGTCGGTATCTTCGTTCAGCACGCCGTCGGATTGCTCGAAGTCATTCTAGCTCGATGTAAAATTCCGTTACTTTGGGAGAGCAGGTGAGGGTACACGTAGAATCGTGTATTGTGTTTTTAATTATCTCCTCTATGTCGAGAGATACGTTTGCTTCACATTGCTCTTCCATGCGAGACTACAATTTCAACCAGTCCACTCTGTGAACACTATCGCGTATCTTAGCATGGGACAATCCTTCGATTTTGACGGAAGTGGGAATGTGGTCACTTCCATGCGTTTCTAGTCTGGAAACCACTCAGCATGCCTGACGAGGCCTCGTGAGACAAAGGCCAGGTCAAGGCAGCTGCTATACCTTGAACCACGTAGGAACGTTGGACTGCCATCATTTAGCAAGAAAAGTTGGTTGTCGGAGGCGAAGGACACAAATTTTCTCCTTTTAACATTGGTCTTCGAACTTCCCCAGATTGTATGATGGGCGTTGAGGTCACCAATTATAATGCATGGGTGAGACGTTGCTGACAGGATACCTTGTAGTCTTGTATGGTCGAAACGGCTTGACGGAGAGAGGTAGGCACCCACAACCGTGATGGTAAGTCTCCTTTTCACTGTTATACTTATATATTGATTGTCGTCATGGGATGACACTGAATGATGGATGTAGGTGAGGTTGCTGCGAACAAACATCAGAACTTTGCTATTATCCGCAGTTGTAGACGACACTCTTCTGTAGAGACTTGCCTGCCCCTTTGCTCTTTTCCAACGTCTGTGTTTGCCGCGCTGGAAACTGCAACTGGCGATCTTTCCCGGTGCGTCGACTTATTGCTTGAAGTTGGCGCTGTTCGACGTTAATACCATCGGCGGCGACGTCGTCTTCGCGAAATTTTCTCAGCAGCTTCTTTGTGGGTTGAGCTGTCTCGTACCATTTGCTTCAGAATAGAAAGTTCTTTTTTTATGTGCGGGCATTATTTCGAAGAAGCCTTGTGAGCACCCTGACAGTTAGGACACTTCAGTGTGGTAGCGCTACAGTTGTCTTTCGCGTGTGGTTCGGCGCACAGGGGGCATACTGTGGAGCTCCTGCAAACACCCTTTACATGGCCGATCTTCTGACAATAGAAGCATTGCACGGGTTTAGGAATTAACGGTCGAACTTGTTGACGAAAGTGGCCAACCTTCACGTATGCGGGAAGACAGTACCCTTTGAACGTTACTCTCACACAGCGTGTGTTACCAAGCCGTTCAACGCTGACAATGACGTTGTCTTGACTCGCTGGTTTTATAAGTATTGGAAGGTCTGCGTTTGGGATTTCCGTGTTAATGTCGTAAACGACTCCTGATGTGGTCGCACCGTCGGCTGGTATGATGGACCTAACTGAAATGTTTCCCAGTTGTGTTGCTTGTTGCAGCGTGCTCAGCGCACTCGGGTGCACCACATCGACAGCCAGGATGTTTCTTGTTGTATTAAGCCGTACGTCTTTAATCTCCATCGACACAGTGTTCTCGAAATAGAGCGAAAGTGCTTGCCTGTTCAGAGCACGCAGACTTTCGGTAGCGTTCTTTGGCACGAACAGGATGGAATGGGGCCATGGCTGGGGCGCCGTTTTCACGGTGGCTGTATGCTTGACACCGGCAATGGATTGATGATCCGTCGCTTGGCCTTGCGGTGCAGGACAGGTTGAAAGCCGTCGTCTGAGGACTCGTCGCAAGATGCGTAGTACATCTCAGTGTCATTGCTCTCACTGGATGTGTTGAAGGCCAAACCACCCAGCATTGGCTATAAGCTCGAAGATCCTGTTTTTCCCGACATTTCCCAGCGATGCTCGACAAAAGACATGAGAGAGTGCGCAAATCCTGTTCTTAGCTCGCGTCCAGCTTCTTCAAATGCTCATAACGCTGGCGCCTTTCAGGAGGCGTGCATTAATTTTATTGGCACTAATTAGAATTATGATTGTTTTGGTTTTACATCCCAAAACTTTGATATGAATATAAAAGAAGTAGTAGTGAGAGCTTCTGAGGTTCTTTTACGTGCAGGCATATCTAATCACATGGGCTTCTAGCACATCGTGGGGAACCGCGGCAGATACACGGGATAAAAAGACTGACAATACTTGGCGCTTAGTTGTAGCGTTGGCATTTGAATGATTGGCCCAGTCCGATTGCGACCGCTGCAGTCTGACCCCGCGACACTCGGGTCAGCATTCGCGCTTAGTGCAGCAATGCAACGTGTGCACCGAACTAGCCACCCTATCTGAACTAACTCACAAAAAGTGCAGCATCACATGATGGAGATGTGGTTGATCTAAGGACGTTTAATGAAGGAAGAATAATGTCTAGACAATACTTACATTGACGCGATTTGCGAGTGGTTCAACGTTGCAACCTCGCGAACCTCACAGCCGAGAAGAGTGGAACCAAATAGAAACTTTGCAGACACTACAAGGAAGAAACGTTGGTATTAATAGGATTTGTAGCTTAGCGACCGATTCTGCAAAAAAACAGCATATACATTTTCCTTTATTCTAGAACAAAACAAATTGCGCATCTCAACACTTTTCATTCAGCCAAAATGTCCTTCTGAAACATTATTCATAGTAACAACAATAATTACTGCAAATAGAAGAAAAAAAGACACAGTGCATTAGCACAGCGTATTAGGTGCGTGTATAGTCTTTTAGGGGCCCGTATTTTTGTCGATTCACTGTACCAGACGGCCACAAAGTGTTCATTATTTACAGGCCTAAAACAAGGCTCACAACGCTAATTAACAACGCCAAATAAAGTTGCAATGTCTAAAATAAATATAAACTACAAAAGTAAACGTATATTCATTCGCAACTATTTAGCTAATATCACGAGAAATATCTTTTAAATCATACGGCTGTGACCCACGCAGCGCAGGAGAGACACCCCCATCTTGGCAAGCAGGCGATTGCCTGCTTGCCAAGGGTGAAACTTGATTCGAGCGGGGTCGAGATGACTTGCTGCGTCGATGGACGTCGGGCTTGGTGGAGTAGAGTTGATCGAGCCATGGCTCCAGCCGAAAATCGATGGAGCCTATGTGCTGCACGTCTTGCTTCGTCGCGCGCTCGCAGCGCCTCCCTCTTGCTTTACGCACTTCCTCAAGATTCATGGTAAGGGAGATACGTTTGGTGCAGGGCTTAGAACTACAACCAGACCAACACAAGAATAACATTTGCGCAGGATCTGGTGCGTAATCGGGACTACACCAAGAACTGTGCGAGAACTCCAATGACACTATACGTTTACCGTAAGCTTAGCGCTGGATTAGAATACAATAAGCGCTATAGTAAGCACTGAATTCCTTTCTTTGTCCCCCTTCAACACTGAAGAGCAGTCTTTCGGGACCACTACGGAAACAATATTACTAAAATTTTTTTGTGAGCATTAGCTGCTTTGACTATTCCTATCTATCTATCTATCTATCTATCTATCTATCTATCTATCTATCTATCTATCTATCTATCTATCTATCTATCTAGCTATCTATCTATCACTCTATCTATCTATCTATCCATCTACCTATCTATCTGCCAAACCACCTACGTCTTCACGCTTTCATAGAGACCTCCTTCAATTAAATTATATGAAAATTGGCAAGGCATTACACCACTTCACTTGGAACATGAATGTCAAATCACCACATGACATCCATAACGTGCCTACCCTCCTCGCTAATGCACGCCATGACACACATAAAGGCAACTCAGTCTTCTAGAGGCAATTTTCTTAACAACAATGGCACCCAAAAGAATAAGGCATCATATAAATCTATGAAAAACTTGAAGGATGGTGACAACAAGAAAATCTTGCCATATAGATGCCGTGTACTTCATGACACACATGACATGGTCTTGGTGCCCTCGTGGTCGTTTTAACTAACTTGGTATGTACCATTATTGATTCGACTTCACATTTAAGTACGACAAACACGAAATATATGTTATGCGTTAATTTATGCATCGCATAGCGCCATTACGGCCGTTTCATTAATTTGGTAGATACCAGAACGTGTATCTCTTGATACGACTGTATGACAAATATCAAGGATAGATAACAATATTATTTTAATGGTGTGTGTGTGTGTGTCATCTATATGATCACTGAATAACACATATGGCATAACGCACAAGTTATCAAGCCACCTTGGTCATTTCATTAACATGGTATATACTATACCGTAATTAAGAAGAAAAAAAAGTGGATGAAAAATTAACCAGCTGTGAGCAGGAATCGAACCTACGACCTTTGAATAACGCGTTCGATGCTCTAACCACTGAGCTACAAAGCGGCCTTACCTCCATCCACTTTTTTTCGGGTTTATATGTGAATTTAGAAGTATGAGTGTCAGTCAGCGCCATCTATGGCCCGATACAATTGTTTATTGAGCCATCTATAAGCCAAGCGACGAGCGTGAAACACTCTTTTATGCGCATGTTTGGCGTCACGTAGCACGTGAACTTATTACGAGCGGGCAGCTGATTAATAGTCCCTCGTATACAACCTAATGACACCAAGTCTGCCAGTACGGGACCCTCGTTTAATGAAATAAGGGAAAGAAGTGTATACCTAAGCGCTCGTTTTTCCGTGTTTTGACACAATATTAGTGAGATCTAAGAGACAGTAATACCAAGGAATGTACAGGGCAAGTTATTAGAACCAATGGTGGAGGTTATTAGACCAACTTGTAAGGTAATAGAGAAGAAAGAAAAGTGGGTAAAAAGATAACTTGCCGTTGCTGCCCACGGCTTTAGCCGACTGAGCCGACCTCCACGTTGCGTGCTTGCCGATAGACTATACGTTGTGCGGCGCCACTGTTATCGATGTGGACTTTGTACGGAACATGAGGGGGGCAGAGATGGTAAAATGTACCTCCAGGGCACATACAAATGCTATCTCGATCATTACCTTTGTTTGTACCCCTAAATGCCCACTGGTTTTTAAAAGCAGGGTTATATGGTCCAACGCCGAGGTTGCGACCATTGATAGCCAATAAGGCTGCGGCTTGTCCCGAGTCACAGATAATGCCTACCTGCCTGGAGGATCCTGCCGACCTCGGGCGGTGAACATTGGTCCGGTACACAAATGCCCATTCGGGGCCTGGTTATGTACAGTCCCCAAGACACATCAAGGGTATCCTTGATGACCTGTGTGGAAGAGGTACATATATTAGAGCACTGCACGGGCTCGGGCATACACGAAAACTCTGGCCCACCCCAGCCCATGGGCCGGACCGGGCCAGGTAAAGTAGGTTTCGTGGAGGCCCGGGATTAAAGCTCCGTGCTCAGGGCCGGGCCCGAGTTTGAAGTGGCGGGCTCAGGTCGAGCTTGGACTTCACCAAGTTCTTAAAACGGGATTCACACGAAGAATGAATACATGGGGTATAAAGGCGGAGAAAAGTGACGTCAACAGGCAAGGATAAGTCTCCCAAAATATCCCTCATTTACACGGACGAGGCAAACGGTGGGGGAGATCAGTGTGGCCAGATCCTCCACCATATAATAGAGCGGGAGCACTGAAGAATTCTTTGACCCCCAGTCATAAATATCTTTGGTCTTGAAAGGGGGGGGGGGGGAGGGTCAAAGCTGCGTTGTGTCTCACTGTAGAAGAAGGAATGCGATGGTGTTTCGTGGGGGAGCAAAGTGCTCGTCTGATTTGACGGAAGTGCCCGTTTTGCACCCCCACTGCCGCTTTACTGCATACGGAAACTTTCTTGTTTGCATGTCTTTTTTTTTTTGTGGATTGCCGACACGGCGTTGTCCTAGCTTTGACTCACCACCACAAGTTTTTCTTTTTTTGCGACATTCCGGGCAGCGTAATTGACAAACACTTTTTTTTTACTACGAAATTGTTCACAGCCTCTCTGACTTGTCAAATACTATACGATTGTGTCGGTATATTGAAATATCAGCATCTTTCAGTGTCGGTTGGCTCTCTGTGAACGAAAAAATTATGCTATCAAAGCATTTGTCTCATCAGAACAACCGAGAATGTGAAGTATGTCTTGTTTCTGAAAATAAAAAGCAGCTCTCGGATTCTACGGTTGCTTATATTTTAAGCCTCTAATATTGAATGAAGTGGCCCGTTAAAAAAGTTTTGTTATAAAGTAAGGCATCTCCATCAATCTGAACAAGCAGTGAAGTAGCAGCACCAGTAGCAACGAAAACAGGCGATGTCACAATTCTCTTCAGAATAACCACTTTAAAGAAAACTAAATATCACTCCATAGAGATGGTAGCGCTCTATCATCTGCTCTACTATCGTCTCCCACACACCAATATTTAGGTTAATTTTACTATAGTCAAGGAAGATATGTCCCGCAAGCGAGGACATTCTTCTACGAGAAAAAAGAAAAAAAAAAGTTGCTTGATCGTTCATTTTCGCCATCACGGTGCATGCAAGTCCAGAGCGCTGCCGCCGCGTTCTACAGGCACTGCAGGAGTGAGAGCTACAATGTGGCCAGAGACCCACCCGAAATTCCGCTACATTCCCCGCTGCACGGGTATCGTTTGTCCCAATATTCCATTGTTTGACCAGTCGGAGAGACGATCCCCGCCTCTTCCGAGGAGCCGCGAGGAGGTTGCGTCGCCACACTAACCCATGACGTCATCGTTACGTGATGCGCCATCCTCGCCTCTCCTCCGAGGATTTCTCCCTCGTGTGAATCCCGCCTAAAAAAATACTAAAATGAAAAACTGATTGGTTTAGACTGACAATGTGTTAGCTGACAACTCTAATGTCATTTCTTCCCCCACCATAATTCAATTGACGGAAAAGAAAAATAAAAGTTCCCTTCATGAATTTGACGCTGTATTCTCCGAGGATGGCGTCATGGATTTCAGACTGTATTTGTCGTATTTCTGGAGCACTGGTTCATTGAACTGTCCTGGAACTTAGCACGTCAAATCTGCGGACCATTCAGAAATAAATTTAGTTATTTTTTTGCCGTTTAGGATCTACGTAGGCCTCAGTAGACGCCGTTTTAATTTTGACAACTTACTGCGTGAATGTCAAGGTTGTGTCGCCAATCATATTTTGTTTTTGCCCCTTTCCGTGCTTACAAAGAATGTTGTCAAGGTGAGCGTGGTTATTTTGAAATAGCAACAGAATAATTCACTGATAATTAAAAATGCTTCACTTAGTATTCCTTTCAATTTGTTGAAAATAAGTTGCTTATATGTATATACCTAACATTCTATATCGAAAAAAATATGTCTTTTGTTTGGCGCAAGACACCTAGAGCTATATGATAGACAAGAACTGAACTAATTATGCTTTTTGCATAAGAGCCTACTTGACTTGTTTCGAACGGGCGAGCTAAAAGTAGATAGACGTGACGCTGCCATCGTTAACAACTGGTTTACCTGGGCTTTATTTTCATTCTTTATTATTTGATATCCTAAGTGTACTTCTGTGATCACACTAATTCAAATATACAAATTTATAACTTGTAATTGCAACAGCTCTAAAGTTGGGAAACGTTCTCGAATATTTCAGCCCATTCCTAATACTGAAGCACTGAATGGTGCCTCGTTACGCAGAATCCATATAAGGGCAGGAAAAAGTTTTTGAATTGTTCTTGTTTATGCATAGGAAGGCTCAGATTAACGTCGAAAGCTGCATGGTTGAAGGCTTTCAGTCGTCAGTGTAGATTCGATGGAATCGGTGAGGGCTAAAGCATTGCTGGCTTCTAGTTTCTCTTCGATGTAGGCAACCGTCGTGCCTTTGCTCACGTGCTTGTACTCGTTCCTGAAGTTCGTGAGCATCACTCTTGCATTCTCTTTCGCAGCTCGGCTATTCTTCTGGCGACGCAATATTCGCAGTTGATCAACAGGTGCTGGTCGCCCTCAACAATTCCTGACATGTCTGTTGATTCTGGAGTGCCGACGGAAATGCTGACGCTGGAGCGAGGAGGAATGGTGACTTGGTCTTAAAGCACATTTAAGGTGTGCCTTCCTTACCAGGTGTACGGCAATGGTGCATTTTTTTGTGAATAGTGTTATAGACTTTGTTCTCAGCTGGCTGACGGCACCATGGAGCTTTAAGAAGTCAAAACTAAGGATGACATCTCTCGAGATATGCTGTAGTACGATGAAGCTTGCGGGAAAATCTTGCTAATAATGGTGACTCTGGCTGTACAGATTCCTGACGGCATAACTAAGTGACCTCCAGCAGTACGAAGGTCGGGGCCTTGCCAGGCTGTCCTTTCTTCAACTTCGCGGCGGACGTCTCACTGATGACGGAATAGTCAGCTCCGGTGTCGACCAGGGCTGCTACGCTGTGGCCGTTGATCAGGATGTCGAGGTCGCTAGTTCGTCTCCTTGAGTTGCAGTTGGGTCGTAGCGTCGGATCATGGCTACGATACGATCATGGTACCGCTGCTTCCGCTGGCTTGTACCGTCAGGTATTCTGCTGGCCGCGAAGTAGTGACGTCAGAGCTGCGTTTGAAAGGTGTCACGTTCTTGAGGCTTCGTCGTCATCGTCATTGGCGGCAGCGGAGGATCTTCGGTAGTTCATTGTACAGCAACCGCACTTCCATCGGTTTCTGCCCTTAGTTTTCCTCAGAAGGGCTAGGCGACCGGCCCTGGTATGGGCCAGAGTACTGCCGACGGTGCGGTGAAATGTAACGGCCGGGTGAGATTGAATGAGATGATCCCGGGGTGTCATCTGCGCTCCGGTGAGATAGTCGGCGATGTCACGTGGTCTTTCACCCCACTGTGGACGTGACGCGTCGATGGCGAAACCACGTAGTCCCGTCTGGTGGTTCTTGCAGTGGCGGAACGTGTTCCCGGCTTCACCACAGTGGTAGAAGAGTGGGCGGTGGTCAGGGGCATGCCAGATGCCAGTCTTCCTTGACGCATAGCGCTGGCCGGTCAGCAGGCGGTATGGCGTCGGCGGTGATGGCGGTGGTGCCTTTCGGAAGAACTGCGGTGGGGCAGTGTCCTGACAAGGGCGTGGAGGAGCATTGCGGTGCACTGCAGTGGCATAGCTCAATGCTTCCGGTTCAGGCTGCGGTGCTTCTGGGATTTGACACTACTGCCGAACTCCTTCTCGGACAACGTCGGCGATCAAATTGGCTTGATGATGATATATGGTGTTTTTTTGGCGCAAGGGCGATTTGATGGCCAAAGAGCGCCAGTTCATGGGACAAAGAGTGTGGGCAATGATTGTGATTAGCGGCTGTATAAGGGCCATAAAATTCCTCGCAACAAGGCGGGTAAAAACATACAAGTAATAAAATCATGACCATGCCGTGAAAGGTGTGTGTGGTGCGAATAGATGACAAAAGTTAATGATAATAAAAACGATGGTGGACATGTATGGCATTAGCACAAGTACCTCACACGTTCATACCCTTGCGTCCAAGGGCCGTGAGGCAAGTGCTTTATTGTGTAGCCACCACAGCGAAAACCTCTCTGGAGAGGTCGTACTACGGTATGCCCGGGTATATGACATGAAAGCTATGAATTTCTTTTAAAAACGCTAACAATGATTTGTGACTAAAAAGCGGTTCCCTACCGACGAACATTGCAGGGTGTAAAGGTATATGTTGTCGGTAGAGTGAAGGAAAGTGTTGTTTTCTTAGAGTGTTCAATCGTTTGCACTGAATTAAAACGTGAAGAACTGTTAGTGCTTCACCACATCTGTCACACAATGGTGGATCGCCACCGGAGAAAAAATATGAGTGTGTCGTGTATGTGTGTCCTATCCTGAGCCTCGTTAATGTTACCTCTGTGTGAGGTGATTTTGATACTGGTGGCCAATGGCCAAGGTGTGGCTTGATAACTTGTAGTTTGTTTTGTGTGTGTGTATCCCACTTGCTCAGCCAGTAGTCCCTGAGTTTTCGTTTGAGTGACGGCTTAAGATCAAGGGCCGGAATTGATGAAGGTGTAATGGCGGTGCTTTCGTGGGCGGATGCAGCAAGCTGATCCGCCATCACGTTGCCTTGAATTTCACGGTGCCCTGGCACCCAGCACACAACAACATATCGGTTGAGTGTGTAGAGTGTGCATAAAATGGAGTAAAGTGAAACGAGGACAGTGTTTTTTTTGTTTTTTAAGACTGTGCAGAGCCGTTACCACACTGAGGGAGTCTGTATAAATTACTGCTTTTTGTATTTGTGATTGTTTGATGTGTTTAGC